TTCAATTTAAGTCTGAATTTGGCAATAAGGAGTTCACGATCTGAGCCACAGTCAGCTCCCGGTCTTGTTTTTGCTGACTGTATAGAGCTTCTCCATCTTTGGCTGCAAAGAATATAATCAGTCTGATTTTGGTGTTGACCATCTGGTGATGTCCATGTGTAGAGTCTTCTCTTGTGTTGTTGGAAGAGGGTGTTTGCTATGACCAGTGCGTTCTCTTGCCGAAACTCTATTAGCCTTTGCCCTGCCTCATTCTGTACTCCAAGGCCAAATTGCCTGTCTGTTTCCTTAGATTTTGGCAGCTCTGTGCTCTCTGGGTTCTTGGTTCTGCCCTCTTCCTTTTCCGAGCTGGGTCTTTGCCTGTTGGCCCCTACAGGCGCTGGTGCCGAGGTCTGTCTTAAGCCACTTCCCTCTCACTCCACGTCTTAGTGTGTGTGCTGCTGAAGCGAGCACCCACTCCGTGTCTTTTCCCTTTCCATCTCTTCCCCTCCCGTCTCTTTCTAGGGTGTCTCTACATGGCCTGTACAGAGAACCCTCTCCTAGGCTTGGGTCTGCCTATCCAGCTGCCTCCTGTCCTGGAGAGCTCCTTCCTTCTCCTTCTCCTCCCCTTCCTTCCTTCCCCATTTCTCGCATTCACCCAACAAATGTTTGTCATCTTGGACATTTCACAGTTTAGACAGATGTGTTTATACTTCCCCCTTCAGCTCATTCTCACTCACCCCAACCTCCATCTGTGGCCTCTGCTTATTCTGATCGCTTCACTGCCTTCCCACTGTTCAGGATCAAAACCTCTGAGTTATCATGGGATATTCACAGTCCTCAGCTTCCTACATACACATCATTGCCAAGTCCCATGGATTAGAACTATGAGTTTTGTTTTGTTTTGTTTTTAATTATCCCTCCTTCTCTCTCCACTGCTGTTATGTTGGTTTGCATTCATCTCCTTTTTAAAAAATTTTGAACAATTGCAAAATCTTCCTAACTGGCCTCTTCCTCCAACTTTACCCAAGTCAGGTTCAAATCTACCAGTAGAGATTAAATCATACTACTGATTTGCCTGGATACTTTAGAACAAGATGCAGGCTTACTCTACGCTATGAGGAGACACCAGTGTCTCCAGTAACGTTATCTCCCTCATCATCAGACTCAACCATAATTCCTTGTTTCTGCACCTCTCACACTTTCTTTCCATAGGCCTTTGCCTTAACTGTTCTTTTTGCGTGAATTCCTTTCATTTTCCCACCTGCTCCCCATTTTTCTTCCTGTTAAAATCCTGTGATGACTTAAGGAACATCTCAAAGGCCAATGCAACGTATTGTTTCCCAGTTGCCTTGTGTCCCCTTCAGGGGCTGTCACAGGCTCTTGGAGCACAAAGCTCACCTCATCAAATCTACCAAACAGTTCTGTTGACAAATCGGTAAGTTTACCAATGTGATCTAGTATGCAAACTACTTGCTGAGTTTAAATACCAAGTGAAAAGGAGCCCCCATGTAAACACTCCTGCAGTACACTGTAGCTTTAACTTCCCATTGAAACATAATTCAAATTTGATGAAGGAATTCTGATATCTTACAAATTTTCTAAAAGGATTTTAAAATTCTTCTAAATGGCTCATTAAAGGAATCCTTTCCATTCAGTAAACCTTATTTCCACAGAAAAGCCTTTTATATAGTTCCTGCAAAGACATTTACAGGAAAAATAGCAGCCTGAGTATTTAAAATGCATCAGGTGGGACCAATGTCCTTCAGGCTTTGCTCTACGGAAACCCAAAATAAAACACGTCAATATTTTGAATTAGCAATAGAATTTAATAGAAAGTTTGTGATGGCGTAAGATGTTTTGATCTGAAGGATTTATATAATCCATTTTGATTCTCAGAAGTGCCCCAAGACATCTTTTCAACTTTAAGTCTGAAAGTAAATGTAAATAAGCACTTAAATTTCCATGTAAAAGGTGGTAGAAAGTGTGTTTATTGAGACACTTGTCGAACACCATAGACTTTAATTACTTAAAAGCAGTGGTCTGTACCTAACATTCCTCTAAGTACCTGCAAGGGTAGTGTTTACATTTCTCTGAAACACCAGTGAACACACATTTCCCTCTTATTTTAGTAGATTTCTAGTGGAATACAAACCACTTTGAGACTTGATTGTGTCATTTTCTGGACACTTTTTAATACTATATGTGTATGTGTTTTATCAAGTCACATATATGGCCCATTTGATTTGGTAATTAAGACTACTAACAAAGCCAGGTGAACATTTTTAATTGAGTTTTTTCCATCAGATAGACTCCAGACACAGGTTATTCTTCCACTGATGAAGGAAGGAGTTAAGCCAATCTGTATAACTCAGGCTCTAAGTCCCCTTCTCCCAAAGAGGGAAAAATAGTGTTTGGGTGGAAGTAGGGAGGCAGATGTTCAAGCTGGTTTTAGAAAAGGCAGAGGAACCAGAGATCAAATTGCCAATATCTGCTGGATCGNTGGTTTTTCCAGTGGTCATGTATGGATGTGAGCGTTAGACTGTGAAGAAAGCTGAGCGCCAAAGAATTGATGCTTTTGAACTGTGGTGTTGGAGAAGACTCTTGAGAGTCCCTTGGACTGCAAGGAGATCCAACCAGTCTATGCTGAAGGAGATCAGTCCTGGGTGTTCATTGGAAGGACTGATGCTGAAGCTGAAACTCCAATACTTTGGCCACTTCATGCAAAGAGTTGACTCATTGGAAAAGCCTCTGATGCTGGGAGGGATTGGGGGCAGGAGGAGAAGGGGATGACAGAGGATGAGATGGCTGGATGGCATCACTGACTCAATGGGCATGAGTTTGAGTAAACTCCGGGAGTTGGTGATAGACAGGGAGGCCTGGCGTGCTGTGATTCACAGGGTCACAAAGAGTAGGACACGACTGAGCGACTGAACTGAACTGGACTGAACTGAGGGAGGCAACACAATCTACAGCACTGAGGTTGTATAAAGTGGGGTTTGAGTAGGGTGACCATAAAATTTATTATCCCTAACAGGATGCTTTTGAGAATAAAACCAGAAGGGATGCTGAAATAGCAGGAGTAAAAACAGGGCTGTTCTGGCAAAACAGGGCATATGGTCACCCTTGGGTTTGGGAGTGGTTCCAAAGGGTGACGTGTTTGTGCATGCACGCGTCTGGGGGGTGGGAGGGCTGCCGTGT